CAGTCTGGCCCAGCTCGGCCCGCCTCGCTGGCCCAGTGGCCGGAAGCGGATGTCGGGGGTGGGGGGGCGGGTGACACCCTCCCGCCGCCGCCGCCGCCGCCACCGCCGTCGCGGCGCGTCGTCGTGCGGTGGCGGAAAGATGGCGGCGGCCATAGAGTGAGCGGCGGCAGCGGGACCCAGCGCCGGGCCCGAGCGGTGAGCGCAGCCGCGGCCTCTTCCCGCCCCGTGCCCGGCCCTGCCATGTCCTTGCCCGGCTGGGAGGCTACCGGGGGCCCCGGTTTCCCCGTGTCCCCTCATCCTCCGGGCTGGCGGGAGAGCAGCTGGGGGCCCCGCTCCCCTCCGCAGGAGGGCCCGCAGCTTCCTCTAGGCTTCCCCTGGAGCTCAGTGTTCCCCCGCAACCCCCGGGTACCCGGGGGTCCCTGCGGCCCCCCTCGGCGCGCGGGCCTCGAGGCCCCCCGGTGCCCCCCCGTGTGCCCCCCCCCCCCCGCCCACAATTCCCTCCATTCTTTCCAAACTGGTGTCCTGCGCCTTCCTGTCAGCAGGCAGGTCTACGGATTACCCCTGGCTCTCCTCACTCCCTCTCTGGTGCCTGGGGACTCCCTCCATTCTCTTGGTGCTCACTGGTGCCTGCCCCCCTCCCTGGCTCTCTCCGTCCCCTCCCGGTGCCCCTGTGTCTCCCTCAGCAGCAGACAGGCCTGCAGATCCCATCACCTCCTGGTGCACTGGAGTTCCCTCTGGGTTCCCCTCTTTTCCCTGGTACCTCCCACTGAGGTCTCTCTCCCAGCCTCTTCACCTCTCTCCCCAGTGTCCTCCTGTGTCATCTCCCCCCTTTCCAAAGGCACGTCTGCGCTTTTCAGCTGACCCCCCTGCTCCCTGGGTTCGATGGGGCTTTCCACCACCCCACCCCTGCAAGCAGGTCCCTTAGTACCCTGAATTGTCCCCCTGTCTCTGTGTGGTCCCAGGGCACGTATGTGCTCTCTCCCTGGCAGGGTGAAGATGAAGTAGAGCTCTTACCATGGACCATGATGCCCCCACAATCAGGCCGCGTCGCATCCAGAACCAGAATGTCATCCACCGCCTGGAGCGCCGCCGGATCAGCTCGGGTAAAGCTGGCACCCACTGGCACCAAGTCCGCATCTTCCATCAGAATGTCTTCCCCAACTTCACTGTGGTCAATGTGGAGAAGCCGCCCTGCTTCTTGCGCAAGTTCTCCCCCGATGGCCGCTACTTCATCGCCTTCTCCTCTGACCAGACCTCTCTGGAGATCTACGAGTATCAAGGCTGCCAGGCGGCGGAGGACCTCCTGCAAGGCTATGAGGGAGAGATCCTGGCTAACGGTAACGACCAAAGATCTGTCAACATCCGGGGGCGGCTCTTTGAACGCTTCTTTGTCCTGCTTCATATCACCAACGTGGCCTCCAACGGGGAGCACTTGAACCGTGAGTGCAGCTTGTTCACCGACGACTGTCGGTACGTGATCGTCGGCTCTGCTGCGTACCTACCTGAGGAGCCTCACCCTCCCTTCTTTGAGGTTTACCGCAACAGCGAGTCGGTGACCCCTAATCCCCGGTCCCCCTTGGAGGATTATTCCTTGCATATCATAGACCTCCACACAGGGAGACTCTGTGACACACGGACTTTCAAATGTGACAAAGTCATCCTGTCTCACAACCAGGGGCTGTACCTCTATAAGAACATCTTGGCTATTCTCTCTGTGCAGCAACAGACTATTCACGTCTTTCAAGTAACACCCGAGGGTACCTTCATTGATGTACGGACTATCGGCCGCTTCTGCTACGAGGACGATCTCCTGACTCTGTCTGCGGTGTATCCTGAGGTGCAGCGGGACACTCAGACGGGGATGGCCAACCCGTACAAAGAGCCCTTCATAAACTCTTTGAAGCACAGGCTGCTGGTGTACCTGTGGAGAAGGGCCGAGCAGGACGGAAGTGCTATAGCAAAAAGAAGGTTCTTCCAGTACTTTGATCAGCTGAGGCAGCTCCGCATGTGGAAGATGCAGCTTTTGGATGAAAACCATCTGTTTATCAAATACACTAGTGAAGACGTGGTCACGCTGCGGGTGACAGATCCTTCCCAGGTACTGCGTGCCTCCTCAGGCTGCTCGTTGCTTTGGGGCAAGTGCTCAAGCAGGTACAGTGCTGTGAGCTGCATTTCTTAGCTGAGCCTGTGAATGTTGTTTAGAATCACCGGTACTTCATTCTTGTGTAAACGTTTGACACCTCTGATATTGAATACCTTTCGTATCTTTTGCTCTCATAATTTCATCGCTTCCTTCTCAACTAAAAATGAGAGAGAAAAGATCTTACATGGTTATCGAATCCCCTTTCTTCAGGGATTGTTCCCCATGCTCATAGATGCTGTACAACCCTCTTCCCCTTCCAAATCCCCAGCTGATTTTTTTTTTTAGCCGGTATTTCCTATAGTACACTTATAGAGGTAGTCTCTCCCTTTTCTCACGTATATTCAAGCATGTTTTTCACATAATATAGTCTTCATTTTTCCTCAGTAGAATTACCTTTTCTGTTCTGCCTACTTACTTACTCTTTCAAGCTTCAGTGAGAGATAGTATTTATGATGTCTCCAAATTGGAGTAGCAGCTCTTAGATCTGGCTAATGTGCCAATTGCTTCTCCTTTCAGTTTAGTACTAAAGTCGTCAAATTAGAGCAAATGTAGTTCAGTCAGTGCCGGATCCCTCCAGATGTTTCACCATCCTGCAGGTTGATCATCTCTTTTCGGTACTGTTAGAGTGGTGGTCAGGTTTTGAGCTCTGTGAAACTGAGAAGGAGGGTTTTTTAACCTGTTTTATTCCTTTAATCCACTTGTTTTTTATTCTGTTGAAAGTATTTAGGAAGAATTTGTAGTAAATCTCCAGTGCTGCATGCAGGCAATCAGGCGATTGTTCCCTAGGTGTTTGGTTTTGTTTCATACCCTTCTCTTCTTCCCTATCTTTGCTAGATCCAGGACTTAGGTCCTAGAAGAAATAGATAGCAGTTCTTTGTGTGTTGCCTTAGTCTAATTCTTCCTGGAAGATGACCCTGGTTTGTTTGGGGAAGTTGCTTTGGGAGGGAATAGGTAGGGCTTAATCTAATCAGTTTTACCCATTCATGTAAAACTGAGCAGCTGTCTCAAAAATATTAAAGCTTTGTGAAGTGGCCTGCAGCGTTCTGCTCATTACTGGTATCTAGAACGGTGCTCCTGACCCTGATGTGAATGTTTGTGGTAGGCTTGGTTCCGCTCTCTGCTGTGGTTACTGAGGCTTTTGTGCCTGGCTTGCTGCATCGTGCTCTTGACTCTCTTCACCTGAGGGTTACTTTGAGATGCAGGTTGTGGTTTGTTTGTAGCATTCCTCAGGCAGTGTGTTTTATGCTGGAGGAAAAGCATCTAATTTCTGAGTTCTTTCACGAGATAATTCCAGATGTGGAGTAGTCTCCGCAGACCGGCCTGAATGTAGGCTTTGTGTTGGGGCTGCCTGAGGAAAACTTGGCTCACAAAATACCTAAAGCTCTGATTTTTCTTTCTTCTATCAGAGAGGAATGTGAGGTTTCATCCAGTTTCAGGCTCCTCTCTTTCCTCTGGCTTCTCTGCCAAGAAGATTGAGGAAGTCGCTGTTCATGCTTGTCAGTTGCTTGTACATTGTGAGGGTCTGCACTGAATCCTTCAAGATTTTTAACTGCGTGCTGTGTATATGTAGCTTGTGGTTTGTTGTTGTTGTTGTTCTAGGCTTGTGTTGATAGACTTGACAGCTTTGCTGAACGATTTCTGTGATGCTTGACTTCTGCCACCCATGCTGTGACGATGTTTCCCTGTTTTACTCATGCAGTTAAAAAGCAGTGAGGGTAATTTCTCTGATCAGGGTCATCCTGGAGATATGTCTGTGTGTTAACCTGGCAAAGGAACTTTTTTATTTAAGGTTGGAGGATACTCCCTGCAGTCTTTAATGATGTAAATAGTTTTTCCTTCTGCTGTCTCCTCTTATCTTCTCTCTGCTCCAACCCTGTGTTTCAGAAGGGCTTCCCTTTCCCTAGGCAGTAGTCTAGTGAGTAACCTCATCTAGCGTGCTCCATTTTGATGTGTGGGGGCTGGATTGTATTATCACAATTTATTTTGGGGCTGTAAAACAAACAACCCTTTTGATATTTGCAGGTGGGTGGGGTGGGTAGAGTGCCTACCGTCATCCCTGAGCATTGTTTGGGAGCGGAAGGTGAAGCATTTAGAAATTGCCTTTATTGACAGAAGATTTAACCAGATATGTGCATATACCATGGGAATTAGTTACCTTTGAAGCAGGGGCGAGTTCTTACTTTGGGGTGCTGGGGTGTTAGCGCTCCTGTCTCTAACGAAAGCTACCTTTGACGACCAAGGATTAAATCTGCCCTTTCCCAGTGGGATGGGAACATTATCTCCCTTTGATGTAGCTGTGCTGACACAATGTCACCTTTTTCCCAATTTCTTGCTTGTTCATGCCACAAAACACTGCCATTGCCAATCTACAGCGCGGTATCTGGGCCTTCTTGCGCGAGAATGTTGGCATTAAAAAGAAGTCATTAATGTCTTTCAGATTTTCATTTCTGTACCAGCAGGGTACCTAGAGGGCACAACTTTTTGTGGGCACTGGTGTAGTGCACAGTACACTAAAAAGGCTCATCTCTGTGTGATGGAAATATTAAGAAGGGGAAGAAAATAATGTCACTTTGCAAAGGAAAAAATAATTTGTGGCCAGCTAGCACTGGATTTAAAATCATTTTGTCAGCAGGAATGAAAATTAAATTTGACACTTTAGAAAGCACTTTGGATTTGGTGGAAGGCAGAGATGAAGAGAAAACAGAAATATTGACATCCAGTTTACGTTGAAAAATTGGAAGCCTGTTAAGTTTTCTTCGTAAATAATCACAGTTAAGAGGCGGATAATTTGGTACCTGTTGAGGCATTTGAATAGCAGAATGGATTAGTGTGAGGATGTGGGATTCTCCTGCGCTGCAGAGAAATTTGGATAGGGTCTGCGGTGTCATTCGGGGAGAAGGAAGGGACAGCTTCCCCACCTGTGCTCTCCTGGGTAACTGCTGCCTCTGCCTCTCTCTGCAGCCTTCGTTTTTCGTCGTGTACAACATGGTGACCACAGAGGTCATTGCTGTATTTGAGAATACATCCGATGAGCTGCTGGAGCTGTTTGAGAACTTCTGTGACCTCTTCAGGAATGCCACCCTGCACAGTGAGGCGGTCCAGTTCCCCTGCTCAGCTTCCAGCAACAACTTTGCCAGGCAGATCCAGCGCCGGTGAGCCATTCGGAGCATGCTTTATACCATATAGACACATGCTCGCCCCCATCAGCTGAAGGCTAGTATCAAATAACGATGGCAACCCTGAGAAAACCAGTTCCTTTAGTTGCTGGGTGATGCAAGGGTCTGTCTTATATATGGTTCATCTTCCAGCCTCATGCATCTGATTTTATATTCCACAGCATCTGTCTTGTTACAGGAAGGAACAAAGCAGTGGCAATCCAGTGCTTAGAAGAAGGAAGAGGAATTTTGAGGGAAAGATGTTTCTGGCTCTCTTCTGGCCGTAACTCTTCTGGAGGTTATTAAAGTGTTACTGCCCAATAGTTTAGGTCCCTGAAGATAAGATTTGTCAAGATGCTAGTGTCATCTAATTGGACATATTTTGCCAAGTGGTGTTCTCTATGCACACTCTGATTTAATGTGTTCCAGACTGTGTTCTGTAGCTTTTTCTCCAACATCAGTCACAAGCTTGTGGTTCTCGTGTTAGGAGAAGGGAAACTTACCTGCCTAGAACTACTGTGAAAGCTCAGCAAAGTATCAAAATAACCTGGGTTTCTAGAATGTGCTTTAACAGTCAAATGTGGTTTTAATGAGGCAGAGTGTGTTGTTTCTCTTGGAATATATTTTTATGTGACTCAGGGTGTTTTCGTCTTCCAGTGACTTGTTTCGCATCACCCAAAGTACTTGGCAATCACTTATGGGCATGAAGCTTCTGTTGATTTTAGACTGACGTCACATAAGAAGGAGGAAGTTGACTGTGTCTGTAACTTTCTAGAGCTGCCTGTCAGGAAATCCATAATGCTTAGTGGGAGAGAGAATGAGAGGGCTCACCGCAGACACCCGAAGAACAACTCCTGCCTTGTGTTAAAGTAGAGAGGAAAATCTTTTCATCCCCTTGGCTACAAGGGCCAGTAACAGGAGTGTTTAATTTCCATAGCAAAATATAATAGAGCATAATCCACAGCATGCTGGCTTTTGGCTGAGTGTTTCTGGTCAAGTGGCAATGTTTTACCCTCCTTGATCTATGACATCCATGCAGCTGATCTGACTGTTCTTGCACATGGAAAGCTCAAATTTTACTTGGAAAGAGAAATCCAGCCTGTGTTAATCTCTCCACCAGGAAGAACTTTCAGCTCACTGTAGTTTCTCAAGAGCTTTAGGCTTCTTATGAAGGTTCTTCCTCATCTAAGGTTTCTCCCTTTACGTATTTAAAACGTAGCAGCTAGAGAGAGGGGGATTCTCAAGTCAACATTAAGGGCTCAACTGTTACTGTGAAACCCTCTGGCTTTTGCTTATGCTGTTTCCAGGCTTCATGGTAAAACTTGGATTGACTGATAAGCTGCTAATCCATTTCTCCCCGTTTCTGATCCTGTTCATTTCCTGTACTGCAGAGCAGCTGGGGCCAGACCTTGTAGGTAGGCACAGTCTTGTCCTTCTGTCAGTTTGGACTTTCAGAGCAGAAACAGTAATGATGAGAGAGGATAAAAAGGTCACCAGAACTGGTTGATGCTTGAATCACTGTGATACATCTTTGGAAATGAACTGTTTTAATTCTTACACTGCTGCTGTTTTTCTTTCTCTATCAGTTTTCCTCCTTAGTTTATTTAAGCTGTGCTGTTCACCTGTGGCCTTTGTGAGTAAAACCTGTTTCTTGTTTTGCTACAGGTTCAAAGACACTATCGTGAATGCCAAGTATGGAGGGCACACGGAGGCTGTGCGGAGGCTGCTGGGCCAGCTCCCGATCAGTGCCCAGTCATACAGTGGCAGCCCGTACCTCGACCTCTCCCTTTTCAGCTATGATGACAAGTGGGTGTCAGTCATGGAGCGGCCCAAGACCTGCGGTGATCACCCTATAAGGTATGGAATGGGCCAAGAAGCTGTATGTGAGGAGAGTGGTGTGAGAGTAATTCTAAATCACCTCTGCCGTGTGGCATCAAATGTGCAGAAAGGGAGTAGCCTTTTCACCAGAGGGTTTTTTTCAGCAGTCCCACAAAGCTTGGCCTCTCCCCTTGCGATAACTGTTTTATCTTTTGTGTGTGCGAGGGCTCTTCAGGTCTTTTTGCTGAGGTGCCCTGGGGAACGTTTGGGTGATGAAGCCTGAGCCTTTTCCATATGAATGCTCTTGTTCCTCCTCCTCTTCTTGCAGTCCTGCCATTGTGTTTGGGCTGTAGGGTGATATGGTTCTGGATGCCTGCTTTCTTGTGCTGGAAGGATCCCTTTTGAGCACGTGGGTTTAGCTGGCAAGGATGATTTGGTTTGTCCTGTGAATAAAATAGCAGCTGAGTTAGGTGTTATTCAGAATGCTTGTGGTATTGATTTATCTATTTTCAGACTTTCCTTGTTTACAGTTCTCACCCTGGGAGCTGTACTCCTCTTCATACCCCCTCTTCTTTCTGTGATCTGTAGGAAACTTGTTTCTGTAGTAGGAGTTTCAGCCAAGTGTAAGGGCCATTCTGTGCCTCTTCTGTCTGAGTCTTCGAAGCTGGCAGAAGGAAGACGTCTGAGCTTGGGAATAAGGAGGTTTGCAGTGCTTCTTGCAGAAACACCAAGACTATTCATTTCTTTTTGTTGGCTGCAGCCATGGCTGCAAGTAGCAGTGGTTAAAAATCCAACATCTCTGGCCTGAAAGGCTCAAAGAGGCTGAGTTCTCCAGGCAGAGTAGTCTTTCCACTTACAGTACTGCAAAAGCAAACCTGTGCTCTGAAAACAAAGAGCCTTCAATGCCTAAGTGCTTTGTTTAGTGACTGCACACATGTTGGGGGCTCAGGCAGCCTAGGGAGACCATTCTGGCCAGTTTCTCAACTTTATTTTTATCAATGCATTCTCAAAAAGTGGTTTCATGTCTCCCCTGGCCCTGACTCAGGTGGCAGGGAACCTCTGATTCTTCCCATGCTCTCAATTCCCAAATTATGTATATTTAATTGATTTTTCTGCCTGTACGATTTGGTTTGATCTCCAGCTCCTGTGTTATCTGCAGAGAAAAGCCTGCCCTTTCTCCCTTGTCATGCTTGACGTTGGGAAAGCTTGCAGGGTGGCAGTTGTCTGCCAGCACCAACCTGCGTATGGCTCTTGCAGACAAAAGGGAGCAAAACCGCAGTCATTTGCTGCGGTTACGTCTTTGTAGTAAACAAAGCGAAGTGCCACCTTCCCTCCCTCCCCTGAGCAAACCGGCATTTCAGAGCCAGAGCTTTTAAAGCTCAAAGCTGTGCAGAGTCAATTAGGACTTGAATAGGGCCTTGGAGCAGTGGGGCTCCTGGTTTTTGGAAAGTAAGCAGAAGACGAGGTGCTAACCTTCACCATTCAGTAGCTGAAATAGTGCTGCTGTGTTTCTCACATGCAAAACAAAGGGATTAATAAAATAATGCTGCTTCCTGCTGTGGTTAGAGGGCTTGGAAATGAGGGGCCACAGGGTTTGTAATGTAAGTCCTATAATTGGCAAAACCCTTCAGCCCCTAAGGGTGTTGTAATCTGTGTGCAGTTTCCTGGCACAGTGTGCGAGATAGGAAGGCCTCCATGCCTTTTGCACATTGGTTTCAGCGGCTCTGTGCACTTTGTCCTTTTAACCCTTAGTACCTTTCTGTGTCTCAGAAGGTTCAACTCTCGACTGGCTGCTTGAGAGACCAGTGGTTATTTGCTCTCAGGCAGGAAGGACTTCAGCTTCCCCATCACTGCCGTCTTTCAGTATCTTTTCAGGAGGCTAGAAGAGATATTCACTGGCTGAAATGATGGCACTTGTGAGGAAGAGGCTCTAACACAGCCTTACCTATAGTAGGGGGTCTCTAAAATCCATCTAGATGGCTAATAAGGAGCCATTTAACCAAAAAATTGGTCTGCAGATAAATCTTCCATTTTCATACAGTTTGAAAAGGCTGGTCTTGCTGTTTCTGTTGACATACAATTTTATATTGCAGTGCCTAATTTATCCCCAGAGTGAGAGCCCATGGAAATGGCCTCTGATTGCAGAGCACTTTTAAAAATACATTTAAAAATACCAAACTGAGCACATCTTTGAGATTACAGGGAGCTTCATCTTGAGTAGTAAATTATTGTGAATTGGGGAGAGAGAGGAGCAGACGGGGGACTGTGCTTTATTTAAAGAATGACCCTCTGCATACCCAGCCTTGTGTAGGAGGGAAAGGGCTTTTTGAAAAGCCAAATACCAGGATTGTGACTCTCTTGCTAGTTCTTGTGTGCAATTTTCAGGCAGGGCTGGCTGGCACTTTGATTCAGAGGAAGGGAGAAGAGAGTGGTCCTCCAGGAAGAACATGAGGTTCTTAATCGGCTGTGTTGTTAAAATGTGGAGTATGTCTGCTCCTGAAACAGCATTGCCTGTATCTGTCATCACCTGTTCTTCCAGGCTGAGAGCTGAGTGCATTGTATTGCTGGCAGGGGGGAAATGTGCTCTGAGATTAAAAGCATTCTCTGAGTCAAAACCAGAGGAAAATGCAAAATACCCACATGTACTAAGTGATGGTGGAAAAGGAAACAGCTGGGAGGCAAAATGGCAATTCTGTGCCCGAAACTGAAAGAGCAGAGAAAATGGTCTAACGAACTGAGATAACTTCAGGGTGAGGACTTGAGTTAGAGCCTAGCTGCTTTGCGAAGGTACCACATCCAGAAACCTCCACCACCACATCCCAGAAACCTCCACCAAAGTCTTGGGGAGGATGGGGTCATTGCAGAGAGTCCCCTGTTCCCACAGCAGCACAGGACAGTGGTGTTAGCTGGACTTATGTCAGTTGCACAGAGCATGCAGAGAAGGTTCAAGAAGCAAAGAGCTTCCTGGTCTTGCCTGTCTCTTCAGCGCTGTTTGCCTCATCCCCTTGGCAATGTTTGCTTTGTGCTGAAGCTGTGTTCCAGAGCTCACCTGTCTGGAGACGCAAATGAGCTTCACCCACAGGCGGGTTTGTGGGTGACAGCAGAAGGACGGAAAGTTTTCCTTAACTTTTGCCCTTGCTTTGATTGTTGAATGCAATCCACCAGGTACTTCCTGCCCAGCCTATCTTGTTAATGATTTTTTGATGGAAGTCTGAAAGGAACTGCAAAGCCTTGCTTGAACTGTAAAGGACAACCTGGCACCTTTGAGCAGTATTGGATTGAGCTGTTCACCTTCCTCGACTGAATGGGGATGTAGCGAGGCACAAGTGCAGCAGCATAATGCCTAACTGGCAGCACCAGGAGAGGGAAGGGGTGGCCTTACACTTGAAGTGAAGACCATTGCTAAGGGAAGAGAGCTCAGTTCTGTACAGTATTATCTGCCTGTCATGGTTTAAGCCCAGCTGGTAACAAAGCACCATGCAGCCACTCGCTCACTCCCCCTGCCCCAGCCACGGTGGGATGAGGAGAAAATATAAAGGCAGGCTTGTGGGTCGAGATAAGGACAGGGAGGGATCACTCACCGCTTATGGTCATGGGCAAAAGACAGGCTCAGCTTGGGGAAGAAACAAAATCAATTTAATTTACTACAAATCAAAACAAACCAAGGCTATTAGGAAGTAAACCCAAACCTTGGAACACCTTCCCCCCAACCCCTCCCTCCTTCCCGGCTCAACTCTACTCTTGGTTCTCTCCACCTCCTCCCCCCGGTGAACAGGGTGTGGGGGTTGTGGTCAGTTAATCACACCTCATCTCTGCTGCTCCTTCCTCCTCAGGGGGAGGACTCCTCACTCGTCCCCTGCTCCAGTGTGGGGTCCCTCCCACAGGAGACAGTCCTTCATGAGCTTCTCCAATGTGAGTCCTTTCCACGGGCTGCAGTTCCTCACAAACTTCCCTGGTGTGGGTCTTTTCCACGGGCTTCAGTTCTTCCCCAACTTCCCTGGCATGGGTCTTTTCCGCGGGCTGATCTTCAGCCACACACCGCTCCAGCGTGGACTTTGCCATGGTGTCATGGCCATCTTCGGGGGCCTCCGCTCCCCCGCTCACCTCCATGGGCTGGGGGGGACAGCCTGCCATCTCACCACGGGCTGCAGGGGCACCAACCTCCTCAGGCACCCCTCCTCCCCCTCCTTCCTCACTGACCACGGTATCTGCACAGGGGTTCCTCTCATATTCCAATCCCACTACTCACTGCAGGTTCCCCTTCTTAAATCTGTTCTCCCAGAGGCGCTACCGCTCTTAGTGATGGGGTCGTCCTGGGCCAGAGGGGGGTCCGGCTTGGAGCCGGGGGAGCTTCAAGCAGCTTCTCACAGGAGCCACCCCTGCAGACCCTCCCCTGCTATCAAAAAACCCCACGCCACACAAACCCATAACACTGCCTTAGGGATCAAGGGGAGCAGCTTGCATTAAGAGAGGATGGAGAGCCAGCACATGTGGGGTCTGGACCAAACTTATTCCCTCTTGTGAAGTCAGCTACATCCGCCAAAATGACAGACAGAGTTCTCTCATTGATGATACTAAAATGAAGTCAAGCTTTTCTAGACAGTGGAAAACTAGCTGTCCCGGGAGGGACTTTCCTGTATAGCCAAGAGCCAGACACCCAGCTGAGAATGTCCTTCCCCTGAGGGGGCACCAGAGATTGAACAAGGCACTCGTTGCTGTGTGTGAAGAGCCCAGATGGCAAAGTCAATAGTCGGGAACAGCCATAATTGACTTTCTCTTCCTTTCAGATTTTATGCTCGTGATTCCGGCCTCCTGAAGTTTGAGATCCAGGCGGGACTCCTGGGGCGACCCATCAATCACACAGTGCGGCGCCTGGTTGCGTTCACCTTCCACCCCTTTGAGCCCTTTGCCATCTCAGTGCAGCGCACTAACGCAGAGTACGTGGTTAACTTCCACATGAGGCACAGCTGCACGTAGTACGACACGTAGCTGGGGCAGCTGCTCTCCTTGGGTCTGGACCTCTGCCACAGATGCACCAAAGCCAGACGCTCGCGCCTTCTAGGAAACCAAACCGTCACTCATGTCAAGAAACTGGACCTGGGAGCTCCTATCAGCCAGCATCTCGCAGGGCCCTCAGCTGTGAAAAGCCAATCCACTCAAGTTAAGGCATGTGAATGTTTCTTCTGACCCTGTTTGTACTGCGGAGGTCCCGCTGCATTAAGCACTGCTGTTCTCTACTCCTGTTGAACAAAATGTAGCTGAGGTTCCTTTCCTAGTTTCCCAGAGGCATGTCTGTTTTCTCTCCTGTTGTAGGTCTTAGGATGGCAAAGATGGAGGTTTGCAACACATCTGTGGAGTGCTTCCTTCTGCAGTGGTGCTCTCCTACCTTGTTGAGACAAGCAGCCTGTCGTAGTGTGAATGGATGGGAGCCATGGGGAGGGCTTAGAAATACAGCTACCTGTGTTTGTATCTTCAGTATTACTAGGGAAATGAAATCCTGTTCTCATCCACACAATCTACTCACGTGATTTTAATATGCAAGAGGCCAGGAAAAAAAGGTGTGAGAAATCACTGCAATTGAGAGACATGAGGTGTGTTCCTGACTTTTATGCAAGTCACTTAATCTTTGTGCCTTAGTATCTGTAAAAGCTCCTAAGTGAAAGGTGGTGTGTTAATACCAGAAAGCCAAGGCAGCTGGTTGTGTCTCTAATGCATGAGGAGGTGGTCACAGAAGAAGACGGGTGGCTGGGAAGGGTGTGGGGAGCAACAGCAGCTCATTGCTCACGTCAGAAGCACTTTTCTGCAGCATGGGGGTGGATCCTCATGGCCATCTGCAGGTTCTGCTGCTGAGGGGAAGGGAGACCCAGCTGCTGGCACCCTCCTGTGTGTTGGGAATATGAGTGTGGAGAGTTAGTAGCATTTGGGTTTGCCTAGAAAGGAGGGAGGAGACCTGAATTAATGTGCATTGCTGCAGGTTTGCAGTTAGGAGACGAGCTTGTTGACTTAGGTTGCTTACCTATCCATGTTTGATATGCTGTTCTCTGTGAGAACCTGATTTGCTGTTCCCAGGCTTCAAAGCACAGCTGGCTGGTGTGTCGATGCTGACTGGACCACTGCGGTGTTTATGCTGCTGATAAAATAAGCTCCTGTGTGTAATATTACCTGCCACAGTGGGCTGGTGAGGATGCTGGCCTGCCCTTCTCTCTTAAAAATGGAGTTTTTGGTTGTAGGCCGACATTTGGGTTTTTCTACACACAGGTTGGTTTATGACTGTGTGCTGCCAGGCAGTGCAACCGTCCCAGCATTGTGAGGTGCTCCGTCGGAAGCTGGAGCCTGCTGTTGTCCCATTCCTATAGGAGGTACAGAGGGGGCATTAGAAAATTGGTGCTCATATATGGGAGACCCTCTGCTTTAAAGGACCCTGTGGGTGTCTTGTTTGGACCAAAATGAGCTGTGGGTGATGTGTTGTGGCCACACGCCTGTGAAGAACAGTGTTGAAGTCATGCATTCATTTTGCATGGTAATGCATAGGAAAATAACTGTGTGGGTTGTTGGTGCCTGCTTATAGCATGAATAGTGGACCTTGTAATGAAGAGTGCCCTGGGGTCCTTGAATCAGCCTTTACTCTCTGTCTCATGGTACTTCTCCTGGCCTTGCTAAACATATTTCTAGGGTAAGACATTGTATTTCACCGCTCTTTTCCTGGTGTTTGCACTGTTGGTTTCTCAGGTCTGTCAGGAGTGACTTCAGGTCAGAAGACTGCTAACAGAGGAGGTGTCAGGCCATGCGTGCTTTAGTTCCAGGTTCCTCTCCATCTAATAACACTATTTGTCAAGGTTTTAGGTTTTTATCCTGTGATCTGTTCCTCAAACATTCAATTAAAGCTCCAAGTGGAGAATCATTTGCACATGGTAGATCATGGATTTACCTCCTTCTGCACCACTCTCACATTTGTTCACACTTCCCGTATGAGACTTTTTTTTTCTTTGCCAAAGCTCTCAGCAGCTCCATCCAAGACTGGGTTTACTCCTTGGCATCACAGCCTTGGGAGGTCAGTGCTTAGTAAAATAGCTGTCAGATCTCCATTTAGACTTTTTTGGTAGCAAAAATATAAACCACTTCAGCATTTCTGCAGTCGGGGCTTTTGCCAAATTCAGGCTGTCCTGTGTGAAGCAGAGCGCGTGGCACGTATTGTTGGACTTGGGGCTGAGAGACCAGAGATCTGTTCTTAGCTCTGCTATTAAATTGTTCTGTGTCTGGGGGCAAATCTCTTCCTGTTCCAGCTGGTGTTTCCTTCTCTGTAAATGAGGCCAAAAACATATTTTCAACTTTTGTAAACCACTTTGAGATTCATGGATAAAATATGCTGGATAAGTGCTAAGTATTTTCCTATTATGTTTGCAGACAAACTGATTGATCATTCTGGGTACTAATTGCCTTGGAGTAGCATAGCAGATTCTCTGGTCTTAGCTGCTGCATTTTATATCTACAACAGAGTTAATTTTATTACAGAAATGTGTTGAAAGAAAAGTCTCTCATGCTTGAAATTTTGATTCTTTCATTTAAGAAACAAAAAATGTGTGTATGGTGGGGAGGGTGGGAGGAAAGGGGAGATATTTTGTACCTGATATTTTTCCTAGGCTAGGATGAAGATTTGTTAGTAACACAAGACAAAAATGGAATAAACAGAATTTGCTTTAAGAGCCTGATTTATTGTCTTTTTCTTCCAAAAACCTTAATGGTGCAGATGGGAATACCTTTGCTAAGAAGAGATGGCAGGGGTGTGCCTTGGACTATGCAGCTGTATTGCATGTGAGTTTGCTGCCTCTTCCTCTTGCATTACCAGTGTGCTCAAGGATGTTCCTACCTGAGGCATTTCTGTAGTTACTGCAGATTTCTTAAATTCTTGTCTACATGAGCTAATGCTGTGGGAGGAATTCTTGCCCTTCAGTTACGTTTTCCCCTTTGTATATTATTACTAGCCCAACTTGCATTCAGAGACTCTTCCTTTATTCCATTTATAGCATATGTCTAACCTTGTAGCCATTTTCTGCTGATGGTCTGTGATCAAGAGATGAAAGCTGAATACACCTTGCTTGGGAGAAGAGCTGTCCACTGCTTTTAGGTTGGGCTAAGACACTTGGGTTTTCCACTACGTGCTGCTCCCAGCCACGATGCAGCTTTGCAGAACACTGTGGCTGAGAACATGCGGACAGGACCCAAAATCTGGGATCCCCTTGTAATTTGCTGTTGCTCTGTAACAACCTAGCAGCATCCCTGTTTGTGTTAGTTCCTCTAAGCATCAGCATCTTGGGCATGAAAGCCACTTTCCTCTGAACCCTTCCTCCATTTTCATGTGTGCAGTTCTCTGATGCTTTCCTTTGGAGACCTTGAGTATATCAGAAAGCTCTTGAGCCCGTGGCCTTTCAGATGGGCACTAAGTGACAAGGAGATGCTTGACTTGGAAACCATGTTTGACTGGCAGCAGAATCCCATCTTTTGTTACTTCTTGTGCTGCCTTTGCTTTTTTAAAAAAAAAAAGTAGTAAAAGCAGGGCACTTGCAATATTTCTTATATAAACTGCTTTAGGCAGCGAGCCACAGAAATCCCATTAGAATCAAACCTATGTATCCATTAATGGTGTGTCCCTACTAAAAACTCCTTTCAATTAACCTTCCAGCACTGAGCAGCTGGCCCTGATTTAGCTCCCTGATGTTCTTGGTGTACTTATAGGACCTTCCTTTTGCTCAGGTGCTGGTATCTATTATGGTTCCCTTGGTCCTTTTGACCCATCTAGAAGAATCAGATTTCTGATGCTTTTAAGAAGTCTCTTTGTCTTTCTTGTTTGTGTCCTCTGTCTTGCTGCTTTTCTGCCAGCTTTTCCTGCAGGATCTCTCAGGGCTGTGGGCAGATAGATGGTAAAGGCTGGATGGCAATGGGGTGTGTGGCCCTTTGACAGCTTTCGTCCTTGTGTGAACCTTTATCAGATAGGTGCGTGCTGCAGAGCAAGTAGGTGGTCCTGTGGGCAAGCAATGGGACAGGATTTTGTGGGTTTGCTTTTGCCTTGCTTTCTGAGTTTCAGAGTTCAGGTCGTTGATGTGCCTGAATCCTTGTGCTTCCCTGTCTTGTTATATGGTGGTAATAGCTTTTCTGGCCAAATACTCCTCAGGAGGAGGGAATGAAAGGGCTTTTATTTTTTTTTTTCTTTTTTCCTTGCTCCAGGGCTGCGGGGGATGTGGGCTGAGTTGTGCAAAGTCAGTCATTGTAGCAGTAACAGCCTGGCGCTACCTGCCCACCAGGCTGACTGCTCATCAGGCAGCAGCATCCCCTGCTAGAGCCTTTTGCTGGCTAAGGTCTGATTTGCCTTTGTTTCTTTTGGGGAAGAGCTGTACTTACTATGTTAGGAAATGAGTTCTCAGAAACATACTGATGTGGGAAAAACCCTGAATTGCACATTCTTTTCCTGATGTTTTGACATAAAAATACCATGCTGGTTTTAGACTAGCAATCTGGAAACCAGTAATTCATGGGTGACTAGCGTGGTCCTGCATGTGAGGAGAACTGAAAAGGGGCACAGTGCCCCTAGTCCCAGCCACTTAGGGCTGTGCTGCAGCATCTGAGTAACGTGTTGGCCCTTGCTTGGTTAACAAGAAGTGAAGGACATAGTATGAGCCCACAGGCTTTGCTGCATTTGTGGAGAAGTAATTTTTTACCGTGTCTCTTGTTTCTTTCCTCCCAGAAGTCAAATCCTTTCCTAGGGCACCTTCTAGCTGTTGCAGTTTGCTAGCGGGGTGATTGCTGTCTGTTGCCGGTTTTCTGAGGATGCCAAGTGCACCCGAAAATTTGAGGACAGTTTTGGAGGAGCATGGCAGGGAAATGCTCAGTGGGTGCCCAGGGCCCTTGGCAAGCCAGAGGGAGAAGACCATGGGGAGAGGTGCCTCCCAGGGGAGCTTTGCTAGAGGAGGAGCAGCACAACATTTGGCCACTGTGAAAAAAAATCCTCTAGAAACTGCAACAAGGCAATGGAAAGTCGTGGGTAACACTACAAAGCACCCAGCTTTTTCTGCATTCTGCTTTGTCCAGGCATGAACTGGAGCCCTTGGAGGAGTTTATTTTCTGTGGGTGACAACTAGTTTGAATTCAGCTTTTTTAAAGCCAGGAACACGTTACTTCTACTCGCCATGGCTGTGCTCCTCTTTCTTTCCCCCCGGTAGCTTTGCAACATGCTAAACATGGGCCAAAGCACCCCTGGCTTTGCCCCAAGAACTTCCTGAGCCCCTGCTCTTGGCGGTGCACCATCCCCCTCTGAAAGCTGCTCTTGCATAGGTTTGTCCTCTCATCTGCCAGTGCCCTTTCTCCATCCAAGTGTGTTGTGACAGCCTCAGGTAGGGAGGCAGAGTGGTACAAGAGAGTTGGGTGGCCCAGCACACTGTCTCCATCCCAGTACGTGATGAACTGGGAAGCAGCTTCTGGTTACCTTGGATGGGGCTGGTGAGGATGCGCTGGCAGCGCTGACATCCAACCCCAGGCCTGAGCGCTGCTGGAGGACAGCCCAGCCCTGGGGGTGCTGGAACCAGGGGATGCATGGAACCGGTGGCAGGGAAGCCCTGCCAGAGCCCTCTGTCCACTGTTTGACATGATTTTAGGATGTTAATAAGAGCGGTGGGCAGCGCCGCATGCCTCTGAGTGCCAGCTCGCTGCTGGTCATTTGATAGCTCCTTGGTGCTCCTCAAAGGCATAAAATGGAGCGATGCTGGATTAGATGTACCCGCTGCCCTTGGCGAGCGCTGGGGAGATACGGTCCTCGCCCTCCCGCCTCCAGCCTGCTGGCGCCCAGCGCTGTCGCCACAGCAACGAGGAGAAACAGCCATCCGCACGCATGGAAACGGCCTTGCTGTGCCCAGCAAATGATTCCGGCGGGGAGGGGGGAAACAGTTCAAATGGTGAGTTTGGAGAGGTAAGGGGCACCAGCACCCCTGCAGCAACCGGCGGGGAGCCCTGACCCGTGCCGCTGGGCTGAACCGCATCCTGCAGGAGACTGCAGCATCGCCACTGTTCCTGCAGGTGGGACACCGCTCCTGAAACACCAGCATCATCCCCATCGCAGAGCCAGCGCGTGCTCTCGTGTCTCCAGCTGTGAAGGCCGGTTTTCCTTGCTGCTGTACTATTTTTGGGGGGCTGGTTCTGAGGTCAGGGTAAGGTCCAGATTAGGTGTGCCAATACCTGCAGCAGTGTAGGTAGGTCACTGGTTCAGACCTGACTAGTGAGTCCTTAATGCTAGTAAAATCCCTCTTTGTAAGGGAGAAGGGGCAGCTGGCAGCCAGACAAGGTCTCCTGTAACATAGGGCAGACAAACGTGTCGACAGCATGATTGTGCAGTGCAGCCCGTCTGGCTTCAGGCAGCAAAGTCCGAGTTAATCTCTCCTCCTCCTGCCTCCTACCCCTTAAGCCCCCAGACAATGGCTTAGCCCATGCCAGCTTCTTCCCCAGAGGGAGCTCAGATCTGAAGGAGATGTCAGTGCTGACCCGCTGGCTCTGATAAGGGCTGAGGAGAGCAGCTCTGCTGTGTGGCTGCTTGAGACACAGCAGGGTTTGTCCCAGTTTTACACTGGCCCTTTGGTGACAGCGCTACCGCTCTTGGCTGCAGGATCACTAGGAAGGGGATCTCCCCAGCCGGCTGCACTGCTTCTCTTGCAGGGATTTCAGTAAACAAGGCTGGTTTTACAACCATGTCCAAGGGCAGATAATTTTGGAGCATCTCCCAGCACTGGAGCAGGCTGCTTCCCAGCTGTTGGCATTACAGAGAAACCCAGAGGGCTGGCCCATCTAAAGTCATTTGCATTCCTTGGTCGGTTTGACCCTGGCAGCTGGGGAAATTGATAATTTACTTCTGTGGATTCGGCAGGAGCAAAATGAAAGGCAGCATCCAGGTCTTGGCAAAGGGCTGTGTGAAAGCCATGGCTGGCAATTAGGAGAGCAAGTTGTTTGCCTGCAGGCTGGTGCATGAAGAGATAAGAGTCCTATTTCACCACCTCATCTTGGGACTTGCTGAAGGGGCTGGGGGATGAAATTAGCATCTTTCTCCTGCCAGAGGCCCCAAGTTTTATGTGTTACCTGGAGTCCTGTGTGTGGTGGGAAACCTGGTCTGCTCCTGCACAAAGGAGCAAGCAGAGGGAGAAAGGGCCAAAAGCTGGAGTCTTTAGCGATGTGTCCAGGGGGCATAGCGGACATCAATCCCAGCCGCTCCGGCTTAGAGTTTGGCTTTGCAAAATGAATCGTTAAATGGCAAGGCACAGAGGAGGAATTTCAGAGCCAGCTCAGAAGGGGAAGGAAGGTTTTGATGACTGTCATTGCCGCTTGGAGAGGCCCTGAAGCAGTTTCTAAATGCAGCTTTGGGATGGTCTTCGTGCCTTCCTTAAAATGGTGAAGTGAAAGCCCCAAAGAGCTGGTCATGCTGGCAGGGAGGGCTCCTGAACAAGGCCACCCTGTGCTTCTGACGTGGAGGTCTGGCTGGGAGAACAGCAAATGGGAGCGCATCTAGCCCGATTCTGAAGAGCCCTTCCCTGCATCCATTTCCTAATTTGTGCTGACTCTTGACCACTAGCTGGGACATTTTAGCATTAGGAAAGAGTTTGGTTTTTTG